CACCTGCTCTTCATTCCAGACAAATTAGCTTATTAGCTAATAATAAGCCCCATATGGAGCATCCCCTCTCCCATCTCTACTTTCGTGGGCCGTTTTTGTTGTTATTGTTGGGTCATTCCAGTCCCATCCAATTCTTTGTGACCCTGTTTGGGGTTTTCTTGGCAAAGATACTGGAGTGGTTTGCCATTTCCTTCTCCAGCTCATTTTACAGAGGAGGAAACTTAGGCAGAGTTAAGTGGCTTCTCTGTCCACTGTGCCTAGCTACCCCGAATGGGCTGCCCCTCATGCCTAGAACATAAGTATGTTCTAGGATCCAGGATTCATAGTATATGCTTGAACCTTCTTTAACCCCAGTGAGGCATGGAGCTTTAGATTTGGGAGTCAGGAAGGCCTGGGTTTGACTCTGGCTACTTCAAATACTTACTGGCTAAATGACGCTAAGCAAGATGCTTATCTGTGCCTCAGTCGCCTCATCTGTACAATGAGGGGCTGATTGGCCTCTAAAATCCCTTCTAGATCTAATCTATGATCAAGTAAAGGATTCCTAGCTTCCCCCAAAGTATGGTTCAGGTGTCACCTCTCACACAAGGCTATTTCTGGTACTCCTAGCCATTAACGCTTTCTACTGCTTTAAATTACATTGTATTATTTCATATACATTGTGAATTTACAAAAAGAAATGTAACACTGACTATCCTGGCTCCCCTTGCCTGAAGGCCAACTGTTATATTTCATCCCACATCTAGGGTTCTTTAGCAGCCTTAAGGGGGTTTGGGTTGTCTAGGCAACCAAATGGCTGCAAATGGCTCCAGTCTGCACCGAAGGAGTTCCCAGGTGTAGGAGTGGGGGTCCCCAACACTCCAGTTCCGCTTAGTCACTGATAGTTGTATTAGGTTTTACAAAGATACATTTATTTCAGAAGGTGAAATCACAAGTGCACACACTTATCCCCTCAACATGTGAGGGACCTAATCCTCTCTCCCTGTGCACGCTGAGTCTGCGGCGCGGATGAAGGGGATTAGCTTCGTAGCTTAGCTGCGTTCTCATAGAGCACAGTCGCCTTTCCAAGTCTTTCCACACCCCCCTTCGGCTCAAGTCCCAGGCACCCTGGCTTTTCAGGATATCCATGCCGGGCGGGCTGGGTGTACCGCTCCACCTGCAAGCCTGTCTCCGAGGTCACCACGGCTTGATTTCCAGGTCCCATAGGGATCACCTCTGGCAGCTGAAACTGAGGACAAACAACGCAGAACAGAAGCAAACATCCCCTGGTCACTTCTCAGAATTTGTGTAAAAAAAGACGAGGAGGGGAAGGACTTCTTCCTCTCTCGCTGGTTCAGCTCATGGCGTCCATGATGTGGGAGAACCGGGATCATCACCCTCTAGATGTAGCAGATAAAAGCAGCCCAAAAGGGGTGATGAAAAAAAAAAGAGATCGAGGGGCTCGGTCCCAATGTTTTAAAGAGGAAGGCAGCCAGCCAACCAAAGGAGATTACCACCATCCACGTGAGACGTGCTCCAAAGGCCCCCGGAGGGTACCTCTATGTTAGGAGGACTGGGCGTGCCCATGCTAGCCCTAGATACAGAAGGGGGACGTGAGAGCTGACCCCTGACCCAGGAAGATCCAGGAAGACTCTGGCACATACTAGCTATGTGACCCTAGGCAAGTACCTTAACTTCTCATGGCTCCAGGCAACTTGGTCGAAGAAAAGGTGCCAGCCTGCAACGGTGGAGTGGGTTTTTATCACTCGTCCCATCTTTCTCCCTATACTTTGTATTTTCTTATCTGTGTTCAGTAGAATGTAAGCTCCTTGAGGGCAGGGAATTTCACCCCCTTTTTTGTATCCAAAGTGCCCAGCATAGTGCCCAACGCTTTTTTCCCAACCTCCAACCCATGATTTCACTGGTCTAAGGAACTGTCATTAAGGAAACTCCCTTATCTGACAGAATTTCTGCAAGTTATGATATTAGAGAGTTTCCTAGGGCACTGAGAACTGGCATGAGATGGCCAGTCATACCCTTCCACTGCCCCCCCCACTTTGATTATCTCTTATTTATATCATTTGTACATAGCTGCTTTTATGTTCCCATGACCTTTGATTATCTCCCATCCGTATTTTATTTCTACATAGTTACTTGCGTGTTATCTCCCACATTCCACTGAGCTCCTTGAGAGCAGTGTCTTTGTATCTCCAGTGCTTAGCACAGTCCTTGACACATAGTAGGTGCTTCATAAATGCTTGTTGACTGACCCGTCAGAGGGCAGGATTTGTCCCCAGGTCTGCCTGACTCTGAAGCCTACCTTTCTACCTTACACATAGTAGGTGCTTCATAAATGTTTTGAGACAATGAATTGAACCAAGTTGAGTAGATTGAAATTAATTTCCCTAGGAGTATAAGTCTGAGGAGTGAAGGGAAATGTTCTACTTGTTAGAGCATCCTCATAGCCCTGAGCCATTGTGAGTACCACAGGGATTCATCCCACAAGGTTTCATTTAGGTCAATCAGTCAACAAACATTTCTGAAACTCCCTACCGTATATCAGGCTCTATACTAGGTCATACATCTGTATCTTATCCAGGGGCTACAGTCTGATTTAAGTATTCCTCATAGTCATTTACCATGTTCCGATTTCCCTAAATATTCTGGGAATTCATTACTCACCCAAAAGGAATATTAATTTAAAAAGCAAATGAGCCAGTCTCTGCCTTTGGGAAAGAGACAAGATAGACAAACATTGAGTGCTCTTTTTAGAGCACTGAAGGTTGACTTCGTTTCAGTGTATTTGTCAAAGATGAGAAGGAGGTTGGGTGAAGAGACAAGTGGACCATTTGGATGTTTGCTTCCTTTTTTAAAGCTGGTTTTCTCTGTTGGTCATTTAGGAGCTAAAGGGGGCACAGGTGAATTGGCCATTAAGCTTGAGGAGAGCGGCCTCCCAACCTACGGAATTAGGCAAGTCATGTACTTTCTCAGTCAACAAATACCAATCAATCAGTCTGTCAACAACTGACCTACTGTATTAAGCACCTACTGTATGTGCCCCTGGGTGGGGGAGAAACCTTGTGGTTGGCTGGCTCCTCCCAGACCTTCCATTTTGGGATGCCTAGGCCAACCGTGTTGTTGTGTCCCACTGGGGGACAAGCCATAAAATACAGTAATAAGTGCAAAGCCATAAAGACTTAAACTCTGGAAGGTAGAAGCCCGAACATGGTGACCTGTTTATAATCATCACTTAGATACAAAATCATAACTTAGACACTGACTCATAACCTAAAATACCTACAAAAGCCGAAACAAGAATATTGTGACCTATATGTGCCCAGGGCATGATCAATACACAACCTTATGTTTGGGCATAATATTGGTTTCACTCCCAAGTTCATTACTACGCAGAAAATATCCACCAATCAGTAGTGAGGCATTTTCTAGTTCCTCCGGCCTTTGTCTATTTTCTATAATTACCATGGTGATTATCAGGGATCCACGAAACTATCTGGCCACCACCCCAGACCAAAGATTGACCCTATTTGTAAGTATTCATAATGATTAATTAAACTACTACCTATAATCAGTCTAGAGTTCCGTGGCCTCTTCCCTTGGTATCAAAAGAACACCCCATGGTTATGGGGGGGAGACAGGGTTCCCCAGACAGGGGAATTCCCGACCTTACCCATGTCTTCACTCCTCTCTAGGTTACACTCCCGGCTCTCCCAAACTTTCTCATGAGTCACCTCCATTTCTCCCCCTTCCTTTTCTGTGTTGTCTTCTCTTATTAGAATGGAAGCTTCTTGAGGGCAGGAACTGTCTTTCTGCTTGCATTTGCATTCCTAGCTCCAGTGGTGCTTGGTACATTGTAAGTACTTAATAAATATTTGTTGACTTGTCGTTGAGAAGTGAGTGAAAGCCATAGTGGCAGATTTAGGTTTGATGTCTCCAGAAATTTCCTAACAATGAAGAGCCATGTCAGTTTGGAATAGGCTTCTCCAGAAAGTAGGTTTCCTCTCACTGGAGGTCTTTCACCAAAAACTATGTTTGGAGAATGTTGAAAGGGTGATTCTTTGGGGAGGGGGTCTTGGCAACGTTGGATTTGATGGCTTCTGAGGTCCCTCACAACTCTGAAGTTCTGGGATTCTTTGAAAAATACTCTAGCCCTACTCTGCAGAGCTTAGATGGTGGGGGTGGGGTGGGAGTGGGTGGTGGTAATGGGGAGTGGTGTTTATTATTAATCCCAGATGCTTTGAGTGAGAAGAGACCCCAGAAGGCCATTTAATGCAGTTTCTACCTGAATAGGAATCTCCTTTGAAGCACATCTAAACTATGCTTAAAAGCCTATGAAGCTGTGCACACCCTTTGATCCAGCAATAGCACTACTAGGTCTGTATCCCAAAGAGATCATAAAAAAGGGGAAAGGACCCACATGTGCAAAATATTTATAGCAGCAAAAAAATTCGAAATTGAGGGGATGCCCATCTCAATTGAGGAATGACTGAACAAGTTACAGTATATGATTATAATGGAATGTTATTGTGTTATAAGAAATGATAAGCAGGATGATTTCAGAAAAACCTGGAAAGACATACATAAACTGATACAAAATGAAGTGAGCAGAACCAGGAGAACATTGTACACAGTAACAGCAATATTATGTGGTGTCCAACTATGCTTGACTTAGCTCTTCTCAACAATACAATGATCCAGGACAATTCCAAAGACTTGTGATGGAAAGTGCTATCCACATCCAGAGAAGAGTCTCGGTGAGGAGCAAAGCATATTATTTTCACTTTTTTTGTTGTTTTTTTGTTTTGTTTTTTTCTTTCTCATGGCTTTTCCCTTTTGTTCTGATTCTTCTTTCACAATGTGACTAATGTGGAAATATGTTTAACATGATTGTACATGTATAACCTATATCAGATTGCTTGCTGTCTTGTGAGGGGGGAGGGAAAGGAGGGAGGGAGAAAAATTCAGAATTCAACATTTTACGAAAATGAATGTAATTGGAAAAAAAATACTATTAAGAAAAAAACAAGAAGCGTGCAAGTAGTCATCCAACCTTTGCTTAACGTCTCACATGAAGAGGACCCCTTTCACATTCCTTCTTTGTCACTTTCTCCCAGTGTGATCTTGAAGAAGTCCCTCAGCTTCTCAGGGCTTCCAGTTCATCACCTGAAAAACAAGGGGGTTGGGCCTCCAAGGCCCCTCCCAGCTCAAGATTTGATCCCACACCACCTTCCTTCCATCTCTGGATAGCTCCTGCCATTGTCATAAGTTGTTCCTTGCATGGTTCCTAAGTGTGTCTCTTTGCCTCCATGATATCCCTACTCTAACACCTCATTGTGGCATAAAGGAGACCCTGGGGTCTCAAAGGCTATGGCAGTGGAGTGTAAGCTCTGGCAGGTTCTACCAACTTAGAAAATCTTTTGAGCATAGTTTCAGGGATGGACTACATACCTTTTATTTGAGGACCAGCCTGGTTAAATTCAGAGATTCTTCAGTTGATCAATCAATCAACCAGTGTTTAAGGGCCATGGTATTGGGAATACAAAGAAAAATAAAACCATTCCTGGCCTCAAGCAACTTACATTCCATTGAGGGAAGCAACACATACACGCATAAGGTATTTAACCTACCTCAGCCTCAGTTTCCTCATCTGTAAAATGGTGATGTGAGGATCAAATGAGGTAATATTTGTGAAGCATTTACACTGTGGGTACTGAATACATGCTTGTTTTCTTTCTCCCTTGTTTGCTGTCTTTCTCGTTAGACTATGAGCTCCTTGAGGGTAGGGATTGTGTTCTTGGTTTTCCTTTTTTCACTTTTTGGTGAAGCAATAGGGGTTAAGTGACTTGCCCAGGGTCACACAGATAGTAAGTGTGAAGTGTCAGGTCAAATTCGAACTCAGGTCCTCCTGACTCCAAGGCCAAAGATCTATCCACTGTGCTACCTAGCTGCCCCTCATGTTTTTCTTATTACCCACTACTCTTAGCCCATTGCCTGGCACATAGTAAACACTGAGCAAAGGCTTGTTGACCGGTAGTGCCGAGGTGCCAAGCGCCTGAAGAAATCTCAGTCGGTGAAAATGTTAATTAATTGTAATCAGAGAGGAGCTGCAGCCTGGGGTAGAGTAACAGAGAGCCTAGAAGTCGAGGATGAATGATTGAAAAGCAGTTGTGATTACTCCAACTGGCTCCCTTCTCTGCCTTGAAAAGCTTAGCATAACCATAATAATCACAAGCGAAATGATCCCAAGACAGAAAACAACGAAGGAAGGGGATACAAAGGGAAAGAATTAAAGGAATGGCTTTGAGAGTTGGGATTGGTTTTTGCCCCCACCCCCCAGTTTTATTTCTGTCTTTTGTGTTCTGTACCATAGTTATTTCCCCTTAATCCTCTCTTGTAACAAAGAAAACTGGTTACTGCAGAGGCATCGAAGGCAGCCACCTCCTGAAGGCGTGTGCAACATTCTGTGTGGGATCTGTTCTCCAGACCTACCATTAGTCATTATTTAATCAAATGAGATCCTATAGGTAAAGAGCCTGCCACATAGTAGGCTCTTAATAAAGGCACCTTCCCTTCCCCTCCTTAATCTGAGATCCACCATCTTTTAGTGTTTTCACTTATATCGTTATTGCTTATGTCATTCTCCTGATTCTGCTTTCTTCTTCTACATCAGTTCATTGAAAATCTCCCTATTTTTTCTGAGTTTCTTATAGTCATTTCTTAATGTGCAAAATTATTTCATTATATTTACAAATACCCCAATCCATTCAGCCAGTCCCCAGATGACAGACACTCACTTTGTTTTTGCTACCACAATCAAATAATAATAGATAGCATTTATAGAGAACTTTAAGGTTTTCAAAACGATTTACATGTATTGTCTCATTGATGCTTGCAACAATCCCGGGAGGAAGGTACTATTATTATCCATATTGGATTTCTGTGGAAACTAAATCTGAGGGAGGTTAAATGACTTGCACGGGGTCACACAGCTAGTAAGTGTCTGAAGAAAGATTCACACTCAGGTCTTCCTGACTCTCAAATCCATCACTGTCTACATCACCTGCCACCAAATAAATAAATAAATAAATGCAGTTGTGAATGTTTTGGTATAAATGGTTCTTTTGTTTCTCTCTTTGCTGTCTTTAGGGTATGTATGGGGGGGGAGCATTGGCTAGGAACATTTTAGTGACTTTCCTCACATCGTAATTCCTTTTAAAATTTTTTCTTTATTATTATGAACTGAATCACCAATAAACATAAGTCTTTGCAAACTTTAAGATGCTACATAAATGTCAGTTTCTATTATCAGCCATATTTACTATATTTTACCTACTTGGCTTGCTTCTAACTGCACTAATTTTGTTTGCATAAAAGCTTTTTAATTTTATAGGATCAAAATTGTTTTGCTTTTGTGTTGAGAGAGGGGAGGGGAGGAGAGAGAATGGGAAGGGGAGGAAGGAGAAGGGAGAAAGAGAGAAAGAGAGAGAGAGGAGTAGGAGGAAGAGGAGAGGAGAGCAGAGAAGGAGAGACAGAGACAGAGGGAGGAAGAAACATACACAGATGCAATTGGCCTCATGAGAGGGACTTTCCCAACTTTTGTTTATTGTATCAGTTTCAGAGGAAGGAAAATCTGCAGGCTTACTCATACCCCACATCCGACAGCCTCCACTAGCTACAGCTAGGGAGGATGATTACTGTTCCCAGATCCAGGATCAGTATTTTTCTGGACCAAGATGACTTTTTGTTTGTTTTGGGGGGGTTTTTTTTGTTGTTGTTGTTTTGCTAGGCAGTGGGATTAAGTGACTTGCCTAGGATCACACAGCTAGTAAGTGGTATGTGTCTGAACCCAGGTCCTCTTGACTCCAGGGCCGGTGCTCTATCCACTGCGCCACCTGGCTGCCCCCCAAGATGACTTTTTAAACCAGCAGCCAATGACTGTAGTTTCTTCCTGAGAGTTCCTTTTCTTTGGGCCACAGGGTAGTACAATGCCTAACCATCCAGGTGGGAACAGAGAGGCCCTGAGCGGTCTACTCCCTCTGTGCGCATTTTAACAGCTTCGAGGACTTTGTCAAGAACTCCCAGCCCCTGGCTCAAAACTGAGCTTCAGCCTTACAATCCTTCAGTCTTTGCAGCTCTCTGACACCTGGCAAGCTTCCGGGGAGACTATTTTCAGCCAATTTGCATGACAGTAAAGCTCCAACCACATGACTTTCAGGTTTGTTAGCTTTCTAGGTAGAAAATTAAACCTTTCTTCCTGTTTCAAAACTGTGTTTTTCCCCATGCAACATATGTTTGCTTTGGAAGGTGGGTCCCCAGGGTGTGACTACTACTTTTGCCCCTCAGAGTTATAGGAACAGACTTCAATGGTTAGAATTTTGAGTACTCATCTGTGAGCTCCAACCAGAGTGCTCACCATGGATTATCAGATAGACTTCATTCCCTTTTCAAAAGGGTATTTATGGGGCAGCTAGGTGTAGAAGTGGGCACAGCATGGGCCCTGGAGTCAGGAGAACCTGAGTTTAAATGTGACCTCAGACACATATTATTCACTAACTGTGTGACTCTGGGCCCCAACTGCCTCACCTAAAAAAGAAAGAAAGGGTATTTGACAATGTTCATTACTCTCTCCTCTTGGATATTTTCTCCTATCTGTGTGTGTGTGTGTGTGTGTGTGTGTGTGTGTGTGTGTGTGTGTGTGTGATACTACTCTCTGCTGTTTCACCTCCTACCTGTCTGGCCACTTTTTCTCAGTTGCCTTTGCTGGCTTGTCATCCATATCGTGTTCAGCAAAGTGGTGCAGCAGATAGAGCACTAGACCTGGAATGAGGAAGACCTGAGTTCACATCTGGGCTCAGACATTTGCTGGCTGTGTGACTCTGGCCAAGTCATTCAACCTCTCTTAGTCTTGATTTCCTCAGCTGTGAAGTGGGGATAATAATAGAGCCTCTCTTCCAGTTATCGTGAGGATCAGAGGAGATCTTTGTAAAGAACGTGGCACAGGGCCTGGAACATAGTAGGCTCTGTAAATGAATTCCTCTTTCCTCCTTCCCCCTTCTCAAGGTTCTGTCCTATACCCCCTCCTTCTATACTTATCTTTATACAGATAACTCACAGATATGGTCAAGTTCTGAAATCTACCAACCTGTCCTGACCTCTCTGGTGACCTCCAATCTCATGTCCACACTTCTCCAGCTGCCTTTCAGACTTCTCAAAATGAATGTCTAGTAGGCATTTTAAACTAAACATGTCCAAAATGGAACTCATCATCTTTACCCCTAAACCCTCTACTTTCCCCCATCCTCCTTCCCCCAGGCTCAGAATGAGGGTGTCATCTTGCACCCTCACTCCCTCATCCCTCATATCCAATCTGTTGCTAGGGCCTGCTGATTTTACTTTTGTAACATCTCTCAAATATGTCCCCTTCGCTCTTCTGATTCTGCCACCACTCTGGTGCAGGCCCTCATCACCTTGTGCCTGGATTGTCACTGTAGCCTGTGGGTGGGTCTGCCTACCTCAAGTCTCTCTCCATTCCAGTTCATCTTCCTTCAACCACCAAAGTGATTTTCCTACATTGTAGGCCCAATAATGTACCCCTACTTCCCCACCCTCCACCCCCTACTCAGTAAACTCCATTGGTTTCCTGTCACCTCCAGGATCAAATACAAAATATTCTGTTTGGCATTCAAAGCCCCTCATGACCTAGCCCCTCCTACCTTTCTGGTCTACTTATGTCTTACTCCTCAACACCTACTCTTCCATCCAGTGGCATTGGCCTCCTGGCTATTCCATGTACAAGGCACTCATCTCTGGGCATTTTCCTTTACTGTCCCCCATGACTGGAACACTTCCCCTCCTCATCTCTATTTACTTATTTCCCTGACTTCCTTCAAGCCCCAACTAAACTTCCATCTTCTACAGTAAGCTTTTCCCAACCCGTCTTGATTCTAACGTCTTCTTTTTGTTAATTATTTTCTCTTTATCCCATATATAGCCTGTTTGTACATATTTATTTATTTGTTGTTTCCTATATTAGATTGTGAGCTCCTTGAAGCCAGGCTCTGTCTTTTGCCTCTTTTTGTATCTTCACAGCTTAGCACAGTGCCTGATATATAGCTAGTGCTTCATAAATGCTTACTGACTGACTGAGAAATATATAGTTTAGTTATAAGTGTACATATAAATATATATATAGATAGGTAATCATGTGTATATGTACTCAGCTTCAGCCCCTCCCCTGAACTTCAGTCCCACATCACCATTGCCTGTTGAACATTGTAAACCTGATGTCCAGTGGTATCTTACATTCAGTGTGTCCAAAACTAAATTCATCATCTCTCCCCTCTTCCAAACTTGACATTATCTATCTAAGGCACCACCATCCTTCCAGCCTTCTTGGTTCATAACTTCAGCATCATCTTCCACTTCTTTCTCTCCCTCACCCCACACATCCAATCTGTTGCCAAATCTTGCTGTTTCTACCTCTACAACAGTCCTGTCGTCTGATCACTTCCCTCATTCACAAAGCTCCCCACTCAGTTCAGAACTTATTAGTTCTTGTCTCTCCCTACTCTAGTCCATCCTATAGGCAGCTACCAAAGGAATTTTCCTTAAGCATGGATTTAACCTTTTGACTCCAATTCAATAAACGTCAGAGGCTTCCTTTGCCTCTGGGGTAAAATATAAACTCTTCTGTTTAGCTTTTAAAACCCCAGCCTCTTTCCAGCTTCTTACCCTGTAATCCAGCCAAACTGGTTTTTTCTCTTTTCTTCACATCTTTGTACCTTTCCAGGCCATCCCCCATACCTGGAATACACTCCTTCCTCCTTCCTGTCTTATATAGTCCTTCTCTTCCTTCAATATGTAGCTTAAGTATCTACATGAAGCCTTTCCTGATTCCTCCCCCCACCCCACCACCACCACTAGTACCTTCCCTCATAAACCACTATTTAACTATTTTGTATTTGTTTTTCTTATATTGATTCTATATAGCCATATGAATATATTTACACACACATACATACATACACATACACTTAATCAATGTTTATCGATTGGTGATTGATGACTCACTGGATGAAAGCAGATGATGTCACACAGGAAATAGTTCATGATGGTTGAAGACTAATCCCTGGAGGACTTTGTAGAACACTGAAAGCCAGTTTGGAAGGTTACAGTCCGGCATCAAAGTCGCTTTGGGAGCCTCCAGTCTCTGAATTGTCTTGAGAAGTTCGCTCCTGTGCCCATACCAAGGGAGAGAGAGGGAGTGAGTCCAGAGGGAGTGATGCACTCCTCCCACCACTGGCCATGTCACTAGAGAGACTGGACCAGTAAGAGACAATGCATCATCAACTGAGAGCTGAGAGACACACCAGGGCCAAGCAGCTTCAGGACTTCACCAGGGACCACCATTGTACTCCAAGTTTGAGCTCACTCTTCCCAGGAACTTGTGTGTACCTGTGGGAGAGTGTGCCCCAGACTTTTGGGCAATCAACTGCTCTTACCATAGCACATTAGTAAATACTCTTTCTAAAAGCTACTTATGTATGGCTGATAATCAGTGGAAAGCACATTGATGAGGGCTCATTACCAACAGTAATAGGAACCTCCTAACCCTACTAGATTCTTGAATGAGATTGTAGCCACCCTCTGGGGATCCAATCCACCAGTGCTAATGATCTCAGTGCTAGGAACTCAGGGCTGATTTTTAAAATGCACATTATAGATTTAAAGCTGAAAGGAGGCTTTTTTAGTCCAATGCCCTCATTTTACATATGACGAAACTGAGATCCAAGGAGATGAAGAGACTTGCACAAGGTCACACAGACAGAAGAGGTAAGATTTGAACCTAGGTCCTAACTCTAAATTCTTTGCACTTTCCACTATTAACTTGCTTTCCTTGCTTTCCTTCCTTCCTTCCATCCTCCTTCCTTCCTTCCTTCCTTCCTTCCTTCCTTCCTTCCTTCCTTCCCTCCTTCTTCCCTTCCTCCTTCCCTCCCTCCCTCCATCCCTCCCTTCCTTCCTTCCTTCTCATTTCTTTCTTTCCTTTTTCTTTACTGAAGATCTAGCTCAGGCGGAGGTGCTAAATGTGTTGTGAAACTGAGAGGCTACATTTAGAACATTCTCATTACCATATCATTTTGCATAACCATTCTCCAGAAAGAAAAAAAAAATCTGTGAAAACACATTTATTCTTAACCAAAATTTTGTCCCACTTCTGTCCCTAAGCTGTTCTCTCAGCTCTTTCTTCTGCTTCCATATTGTTGTTCTTCACCTGTTTAAAACCCTAATGAAAGAAAGCCCAAAGCCAGGCTGTCCACCTGCCTCCATCCCAAGGAGGTCTGACCCACCCAGTGGTGACTTTCTTCAAATACCATTTCCACTCATTCTTTTAGTCTAGATAATACTCATTAGGGCTCTTTGATGTTCAACAGACATCTATGAAGTACCTACTGTGTGGTGTGTGGTTTGTCCTTCCTTCTCAAAGAGGCCATGACATCAAGGAGATGATGACATGACTTGCAATTGACTTTGATTTAAGTGAGGGAGGGCTGTGCAAAGTCACCAGCCTCACTTTCTCCTCCAGAACCGTCTGAGTCCGGTAGCAAGATATCAATCAGGGTGACTGGAGCTGGCCCAGGATGCAGTGGGAGACCTTGGATCTTTTAAGCTAAGGTCTTTCTAGGTTCTCCCTTTGAGTGAGGCAACCAGTTATCCCCTAAGGTGGGAATGTACTCCTTCCTTACCTCTTATTCTTAGGATCCCTAGCTTACTCCAAAGCTCAGCTCTGGTACCAGTTCTAATACGAAGCTTCTCGTTTTGAACCCAGTTAAAGTCTCTCCTTCCTCAAATTACCTTTAAATTTAACTGTGCAAATGTTGTATCCAGGCCTACACCCAAGTCCGCCATGGTAAGAAATGATTTGCTGTTGGTGTTTGCACCTTAAATAGTGCCTTGGGGACTTAATAAATGTCTGTTCAGTTGAACTGCCTTACTTTTCAGTATAAGCATACAGAATTAAGGAACAAAAAAAGGTACCCAAATAAAGAACTCTGAAAGAGTAAATATAATGAGGACTGGGTTGTGAAGGATACAAAACTGACTAACACATAATTCCCGTTCTGAGGTCGTGAAGGATTTTACAGTTTAGAGCAATGGGATATAATCACTTTGGAGAGGCAAATTTTTAAAAGGTGTAACTTTTATGTAAACAAATAAATTTGGTATATCTTACGTAATGAAGTAACATTACAGACATTAGCACAACAGAAAAGCATATTTTACCTCTTTGTCAGGTTAACTTCTAAAGCACAATGTTAAGTAATAATGTCCACTACATTACCAAAAGTTATTTCTTATTTTTTATAATTGCAAATTAAACATCTGACTTAAAAACAAATACCTAAAAAAACCCAAATAGCAGATTGACACAGTCAGATCACAAATAGACCTTTTTTTTACAACATACATCATCATACATTTATGAAACTCATATGGCAGTTGTCATAAATCATTAAAATGTATTATATGCCAACCTTAACAAAGTATATTCTATGATGTTATATTTTTGAAGGCTCTGGGCCAGGTGCTTACGAAGATTAAACAGTCCTTGCCCTCAAGCTCTCCATCTCCAGAGAGAGAATTGATGAACTCTGGGTGCAAGCTGAAGTATAATTTTTTTCACTTTCTTTATTTTTCATGCTTTTTTTTCCTTTACAACATGCCTAATATAGAAATATGTTTTGCATGATTTCACACGTATAATTGATATCATATTGCTTGCCTTCTCAGTGAGTGGGGGAGGAAATTTAGAACTCAGAATGTATAAAGAAAAGAACGTTAAAAATAAATAAATAATGATTTTTTTAAGAAGAAAAAATAAGTTGCAAGCTTTTTGTAAGGGTGAAATAGGTATAAGAAAAAGTGAAGTATGATGACTACTAGCCTTCCGATTGGTCCCCCTACCTCCAGTATCTCTCTGGCCTTTCCAATCTGTCTTCCACTGAGCTACAAAATCAGCTTTCTTAAAGCACGAGGCCCTCAAGAATTTTCAGTGGCTCCCTTTTGCATCTTGGCAGCTTGGCCTTTAAAGTCCTTCCTAATCTGGCTCCAAGCTGCCTTCCCAGATTGATTTCACATGATTCCCCTTCTGGCATCCACATTTCAGCCAAACTGGCTGAGTTATTTCTAGAACTCAGTATTCCACCTCCCATCTCTGTTCTCTTTGTGCCCGGTTGTCCCCAGGCCTGGGAGAGACACTGCCTCTTAGAATCCCTGGGCATCTCAAGGCTCTGCTTGGAGGAGAAGTCTTTCCTGAGCCCTGTCCTGGGAGGGTTTCCTCCCTCCTCCCTCCTTTACTTATCAGTGGACAAATGGGTGCTAGCTCCCAAAGAGCTGGGGCTTTTTTGGTCTCATTTTTGCCTCCCTAGACAGAGCACAGAATTCAGCACAGAGGTGGTGCTTAATAAATGCTCAGCAGAGAGGACTGGTTGAGTTTGACCAGATGCTTTAGTAAGCTCCTGGAGGGAAAGGAAAAAAGCTCCCCCCGGCTTAGCCCTGTGCCTGGCACAGAGTGAGATCAAGGAATCCTGGTCGGAAGTGACCTTGGCGACTCTCTAGTCCAGCTCATCTCCCAGAGGAATCCCCGCCGTCATATATCCAACAAAACTGGTGATCTAGACCAGGGGTAGGGAGCCTGTGACCTCGAGGCCACACATGGCCCTCCAGGTCCTCAAGTGTGGCCCTTTGATGCAATCCAAACTGCGCAGAACAAATCTCTTTAATAAAAGGATTTGTTCTGTAAAACTTGGGCTCAGTCATACTTGAGAACCAAGAAGGCCACGTGCGGCCTCGAGGCCACAAATTCCCCACCCCTGTTCTAGATTGTCAAGATCTTTCTCTGTTACCGACTTGGTTATCCCCAGTGTGAGCTACTCTTCCCAGCGTTGCATATAGCTAGGTGGCACTGGGCTGGGAATCAGGCAGATTCTTCTTCCCGAGTTCAAATCTGGCTTCAGACATTTACTAGCTGTGTGACCCTGGGTAAGTCACTTCACCCTGTTTGCCTCAGTTTCCTCATCTATAAAATGAGCTGAAGAAAGAAATGCCCTACCACTGCAGTATCTCTGCTGAGAAAACCCCAAATAGGCTCATGGAGAGTCAGAAACAAACAGTCAGCCAACTTGGTGTGTGATACATGTTTGTTGAATTGAATTCAGGTGTGTCTCATTCTGGATTAACACATCGGTTCCTGAAGGGACAGATCTGGTTTCCTCGTATGCTGGAGATGGAGTCCCCCATCCTGCCTCTTACCCTTTTAAATGGGTGAGTCCTTGAGCCCTTTGTCCAGGATGAAAAGATGTTGCCTTAATGTAGAGAGAGAGTGGTATTACATAGTCTTCTCCCCTATGGGAAAGTTTTAGTTTATTTCTCTGGGCCTCATCTAAACGTGGCCTATCAGTGGGACAGCAACATTCCTCCAAGGAGACATTAACCACAGATAAGGAGGAGGGTGAGGGAAGAGAAAACAAAGCTGAAGTAGAAATAGGAAAGGTTGTTATTTGTCAGACAGGTACGTGGTTCAGTAGATAGAGCACCAGAAATGGAGTCAGGAAGACCCGAGTTCAAATGCAGCCTCAGACACTTACTATCTGTGTGACCCTAGGCAAGTCACTTAACCTAGTTTGCCTCAGTTTCCTCATCTGTAAAATGATCTGGAGGAGGAAATGGCAAAATGCTATGGAGAAAGAAGAGATGAAGAGGGGGAAGGGGGAGAGGAGAGAGAGAGAGAGAGAGAGAGACAATAGAGAGATAAGAGGTAGACGATATAGATGAGACAGGAATAGATAGCTAGAAATAGTGAGTAGGAAAGAATAAATAGAGGTTGTTACCTAGCAGCTGCTTTAGGCTCTTTGAAAAGGCAGACTCCTTTACGCTGTACCAAAGGGCATTCTGTATAGATTTTTCATCTGTATCTAGTGCGTAGGTCACTAGAAAGTATGCTAAATTTGGAGGCAAATGACCAGGATTCGAATCCTGATTCTGCCACTTACTCCCTGTGTGACCTTGGGAAAGTCACTTAACCTCTGAGAGGGGCTGGACTAGATACCCTTTGAGGCCCCTTCTACTTCTAAAATATATGATCTTCTCACTCAATTAAACAACATTCATTAAATACATATCATTTGCCAAGCACTGGGGAGTCAAAGATAAAAATGAAGCCATTCCTGCCCTCAGG